AACCATTGTGGGAGACAAGAATGAGACCTTATCATCAAGTCACAAGGAAGGAAGACAAACTGTATTATATCTTATCAAAGCCTAGCAGCACAAACACTACCATCTTCGCAGGTGGCTAAGCTTGAGATACTAAGAAAGAATTGTAAGTATTGGATTCAATCTCAAATCTCCCCTTCTCTATTGAAAAGAATAACTTTAAAAAAAAAGAGAGTCTAACAGCACGACGCTACCATCTCTGCAAGTGTCAACAATCCTCCAGCTAGAGTGTTTCAGAAAGAGCTCCATGAATAATTTGACTCCATCGAGCATACGAGTAAAATTCAAGAGAAAGCAATCAAGAAATTAACTGAAAGTCGAACTATATATATTATGGTATTGAATTATTATTGTGGGTTAGGACCTTTTAATCAAGCATGTTGCCCTATATAATTGTGCTTCATGTTTAATGTTCTCGCTCAAACATAGTTTATCTACTGCGTCGTCGTTAGCGATCACTGGAAATCTCATAGATAATGTTGGTCAAATTTTAAATACACTCGAATGGTGAGGCTTAATTAACTCTATTATACGCAGGATACTGTGAATACATCGTCGTCAGGCTGCTGGAAGGAGACAAAAAGAACCATCTCTCGTTTCATTTTCTCCTTGTGGTTGCCTACTGAACCATACAAAAGTTGTACAAAAGAAGAGAAAAAGTTGATTAGTCGATGGCTTAGATGAGTAGACCAGTGAATATATCGGCAGGCAATTTCTATTTGCCATATCATTTTCTAAGGAATCTTGTCAAGTTGTTCTCAGCGTCAGCCAATTTTTGGACTAATTGAACTTTACGCGCTTAACAATTCCAATATTCTCAGCTACACCTTGAACTTTGGTTTTAAACACTTTGCTCCCTCAACCTTCGATTTTTGCATTGAAAAATTTGCGCCCTAAAATGACTGTAGTTTTGCATGTTCTTAGCGAAAGTGTGCAAGCAAATATGTGCGTAAATACCAAATAACTCTTCCTCTTAAAAAAACAAATTTTAAACTGATTTCAGAGACAGAGAGAAAATGAATCAACACGTACGTATGTTTTTTTATTCACGATATGAAATGAGTGAATGAGGTAACTTGAGATACTTCGATAACTAAAGGGTGCAAAAAAAATATCTAAAAGAAAAGTTAAAGATACAAAAGTAGAATCAATGCAAACTCAAAGGACGCAAAACGACATTAATCCTTCTTCTTCTTTTTTTCTCTCTCTCTTTCTCTCATGTCGATTATCAATAGCATCCGTATCAACTTCAAGAATATCATGAAATTATAAAGTAGGAAAAGTCTCAATAGTCGCATTTTTCTCGGGATTCGCTGCACATAAATTGAGGATCAAACCACATCGTACCTCCTTCAAATAAATCTTATGGATCCATGCCAAGTAGCATTTTGTAATGAATCAAGTGGACCCTGAAATATATCAATTTTGGAGCACGCCGAAATCATTCGACAATGTATTAAGTACCAAAAAGCGTACTTTAGATATGAAAACTTCCAGACAGAGAGCTAACAAAGAAAAAAAAAAGAAAGTCTAGACAAAGGCAAAACACTATGTTGATTTGCTAAGCTTGCTCTGATAAATAATTTAAGCTACCGGCGGAGTGGTCTATAAGATATAGGAACATCCCTGGCTACGTGCAGTGCAGGGCAGGTTTTATGCCTTACTTCTCCTTCCCCTGTTTATCCAGAAAGATGTAAGCCATCTTGTTAATTATAGCTAAATTCCACGTTTCTTGCATTAAAAGTTTTAACGCGAATATTATTCTTCAACCAATCCTTCTAGCCTATCGGGCGGATCTAAAATTGACAATTAAAAGTCACTAGTATTTTCTCAATGCAATTTGTGGGGTAAAAATCCCTAATAATGGTTCATCATATATATGTTTCAGATCAATAATGCCAAGTTTCATGCATGGAGTTTCTACTTTCTATTTTTAGAAACTTCCTTGCAAAAAGATGCATAACCTTCCATAATTTTCATATCAAGCATTTTGTCTTGAATCCTTCTTGAATTAATTTATAGATACCTCGACAAGACACAAACTTAATGCTGCATAAAAAATATATAAAAAAAAAAAAAAATTTTAGAGTACTACATCTAGATAAACTCTTGGGAAAAAATCACAGCCGCAGAGACAAATCAATCTGGCTATAATCTTCTTGCACACTTTCAGGCTTATATACTCTACTGCTCCAATGATGGCTTTCTATCCTCGAATCGTAATCCATCTCTCTTCTTCCATAGCTCGTATCGCTCGTAAATCGCCTATGCCCGTGATGATCGTGGCCCATGATGGGCGGCTGAACGTGATTTGGAGCACTAGAAACGGACCCTGATCGGCTGCTAGAGCCCGAATGCGGCCGAACAGCTGAACTTAGCTCGCGGCTCTTTTTAGCTAAGGTTCTTTCAAGTTTGTGAGCGTTTTGGTGGCCTCCTAATGCTTGTGAACTATAAAACTTCCTTCTGCAATAGTTGCAAGAAAAAACCCGTGGTTCTGATGGATTTAGAGGAGATGAGGATAAGGAAGATGTTGATCGGTCTAGGATTAGGTCTAGGTTGAGGTCATTGTTGGTTAGACCCAAGTTAAGGGCCGTGCTTGGTTCGTAATTCATGGTTAAGATTTGTCAAGGAAGAAGAAAAACAAGAAGAAAATTCAACTTGTACTAGAGAAATATGGGATCAGGTTTGAAATTTTTTATCAAGAAACTCTAGAGAAGAAATTGGAGTTCATGCAACGGGCATAGTTAGGAAGACTAGCAGAGATAAGAGATAGCTGATGAGGTAGGTAAGTAAAGCGTGTTGAGAGGACGTTATATAGAAAATGTCAAGTGTGTGTTGTGTGTGAAAGAGGATGTCAAGGAAAAATCAAAGCAATCTATGAAAGGAAAAGAGGAGCAGAAAACTACAAAATTGGATTAGATTAGATATAAAGTGGACGAGGGGAAGTATGCATGTATGTTCTGTGTAGTATGTATACTAGTATCGAATCATATGGGGTGCTAAGGTTTACTGTACCAGAAGCCACAGATAATACAATTAATAGGAGGTCTCGAGTTCAAAAATGGAGGACATTGGATTATTTTCCACATGAGAGTGAGGGAGACCGAGACAAATACCTGCAAATATCAGTGGATGAATCAAATGGTTGTCGCGTCCATCAATGGCAGCATTCCATCTCCCTTGTCGGTCCATAAAAATCCTTGCAATTCTATAGTTGCTTTGTAGTTTTTTTTTTTTTTTTAAAAAAAGTATTTGAATAAAGGATTATGAAAAAGATTAGCAAATATACTACGTGATAATTATTTATTGTTTCTACATGTCTCACTTGTTTTTCTGTAGTCTAATAATGAATACATCGATTTTGGCCATCTAATCATGGGTCCAATCATGGCTTCGTTTTGGCTTGCCACCCTTTGTTTACCTAGGACAGAGAGAGGAGTTGAGATCTTGCTCTAAAATTCCAATTAAAGTACATGAAAGTGATTAAGATAACCCATCTTGACTAGACCAATTACGCAATATAATAATGCACCTCACATAATTTTCCCCAACTCACTTCTTCTTGCAATTAAAGTACGTTTTTAGGTTTGCTCCACCATTGACTGTGCTACTGGGGTTCCATCTTCGAATCATCTTGCTTGTCCTCGCAAGTATGCATATGATTCTGATCAAGGCGATTCTTGTTTCATCTCCCTCCTGGAACGAATCTCATTGTTCCTTCACGGAGGTCCAAGGCTTCAGTTAATTGAATACATGTAGCTTGATTGATTAATTTAGTACTAAATTATTGCCTCAAAAGCTTGTCGCCAATGATTAGTTTTGATTTGTCAACGAAGACCTCATGTTTCTGGAGCTAATAGCTTTGAATCAGCACGGATTAGCAATAAAGAAATTCCAAAGAATACTTTAGCCGTCGACAGGGAACAAATTTATACTCGTAGTCTTGAAACCAATACTTACGATCACTCCTCGAGTCAAACTTAACCTCTTATCATTTCACAGTTGGCAACCACTGAAGTACTATAAATTAGTACTATAATTTTTTCGTCAGATCCAAAGATGATGTAAATATGCCTGCACTCTTTCGTCTTCTATGCCAAAAAAAAAGTGTTTTTTTTTTTTTGGCAAAAAACCTAAGCGACCACTAAACTATTGGTCAGATTATGTTTTGATCATCAAACTATTTTTCATCAGTAATTAGTCACTAAACAACTTAATCAGTAAATTCGTGACCATTTAGTCGATAATTGTTCTTAATATATGAAATTAGCTGTACATGTGGCAAAGTGCGGGGTAATTTTGTCCAACAATTACGATACCCTATTTCACAGATTAATTGCTAATTTTACAGATTAAGAGCAATTATCAACTAAATGGTCACGAGTTTACTGATTAAGTTGTTTAGTGATCAATTACTGACGAAAAATAGTTTAATAGCCAATATATGATCTGACCAGTTGTTTAGTGGCCGCTGAGATTTTTTATCCCTTTCTTTTAACACCAAGTTCCCGATAAAAGAGACATTAATTGATTGGCAGGCAATATTTTGCATAGTAGATAAAACTAACACCACACAGGTGCTTGCAAGGAGCCATACGCTAAACATTTTTTTGGATCACCTAAAATTATTTTTAGATTGTATCATTTTCCATTAACGTACGGCTAGCGCTATTTGTCAACCAATTTGTTCCAAAATCATCTGCATAAACAATCTCTTGTTAGTGTATAAAGTCAAGCAATTAATACATTTAATTTTGCATAGTGTCATCAGCTCTGACCGCCTCAAAATTATTTTGTACCTCAATTAATCTGATCCACTAAAAATTCAATTTTGATTGGACTGCCCCTCTTACGTACTATTGTTTCACCAATCTTAAATCAACAGCCTTTGAACCACTCGGAAATATATATATATATATACATAATGGCTAAGAGCCTAACGGACGACTAAGCTGTCTATCTACCCTGCATCACATCTCGAATGAATCTCTCTACCCTCAAATTTGACATTTCATTAAACCCACTAGCAGTGAAGGTAACTGAGCGAAGCACATGGGGATGCTCTATTTCCACTGTAGAAACAAGTATACACGAAGTAACGCAGAAAAACAATGGCAGAATTTGCTCCCTTTGAATAATTCATTCTAAAGAATGGGCTTCTTCCTGCATTAGCAAAAATAATAAAGATAACGTAACGTTTTGTAATCACGTCAACATAATCTTGGCTGTCGGCTATAATTGCGGTGACCATTGTCCGTTATTAGCGGACACAACATAATCTGAGACGCAACAAATTGTTGGAATATACTTAGCCATAAGATTCCAAGGCAGAAACATTAATTCCAAGTTAAGACCATTTTTATTTATTTATATGCAACGATTCCAAGGCATGTCTCTTCTTGCACCTCATTAATCCCCACCGCACATGTCTCAGACCTTATCTTTACGAATAATTTACACCGCAACAATCCTTTTCTTGTTCTTTGCTGGCATGATCGGTCGTTATGGCCGCACCCCATTTTGCAAGCTCAAAAATAATCAAATGAAGTAAAATTGCTAGGAATTGCCTTCTCTTCATTTTAAGAAAATGTGCATATATATTTTAATGTACCAAAGCAAACATGCTGCAGTAGAGACTGACAGCCGTTTAAAGCCCTGGTTCTATCTTGGGGTTGAGACTTGAGAGAGGGGGAGACCGAGGAAACGAAGAAATGGCAAAATTTAGACAGAAGCGGTGATGATGCGGTGGGGAGCCTGTGGTTTTTGCATCTAGAAATGGAATTTCCTATGTAGGAACTAAAAACTGAGATGTGTGGTCGACATGTTTGAGTTGTGTCGGATTTTTAAAGATTTATGGGGTCATCATGGAAGAAGGTCTGACCCATGAGACTCATGACTACTGCCTTCGCTTCTCTTCTCTTCTCTATCTACACGTGGATAATGACTCTTACTGTGTTTAAGTCATATACCTGCGCTGTTCATCTCCCAATTCATCCTGCTTCTCTCTCTCTCTCTAGTATTGGAGTTTGTAAACTTCGAAGTAAGACTGTAATGGTTGAAACACGATGAATAAGATTGTGAAAAGATGAAGCCTCATCTCTTACTCTTTGTTGAAGTGCATATGTGTGCTGGTGCAGCTCCTGATGTTGAAACTCGACTTTGGAGTATCTCTTCATGTTGCTTTTGTGGTGTTGCTTCGCTGCCATCCCATGACTTAAAAAAGGAGGGTCCCCCCGCCCCCCAACCCCCACCAGGACACTTTTGGTCTTCTATGCATTGTTCACCTTTCTTCTTTTTGAAATTTGGATGCATTACATTGATAGTATTTATTTTGGCTACAAGGGTGTGTCATAAAACAGATCAGAATCAATTCTCTCGTGCTTTTATCCAAGATTTGGTGCCATCAATGATGGCCAATTCTGATGGGGTACGACATTGCCTGCATGAGTGAACATGATTGCTTAATAAATTTTCATGCACGGATGGTTGATAAGATGACAGCACAAATAAAGATCAATAGTTGGTTAATTTAGGCACTATTTGTTTGTTTGTTTTGAGGAAGTGGGAGGGAAAGGAAAGAAAAGGATTAGGAGGAAGAGGGAGGGATGAGATTTTGTTACTCTTTGTCAATCTACTCTCTGCTCAAAAGTGGGCAGAAAATGGAGGAAAAAGATACCAAAATCAATGAAAATTTTAAATTTTCGTATCATATCATGTATTTATAAATTAGACTTTTAAATTATAGATAAAAACATAATTAGTGCATGATAGATTTCTTTCTTTTGCTCTCATAACTCAAATAAGACGGATGAACTCAAGTTTTCCTCTACTCTCCTCTCTTTTCTTTTCTTTTCTTTTCTTTTCTTTTCCACTGAAGCTCTCTCCTTCCCTTTTCTTCCATCCCAATGGTGCCTTAGATTGCAAAGATGGATTTTCAAGTAAGCGTAACTTTGAGTGGGTTTCAGTAGGATTAATCCAACTTTGATTATTCCATCAAGAAAACCAAAATTCAACTGCAGTATTAATTACATCTGGGCATAAGGACTTCCTAGAAACAAGTTGCATTGGAGAAAAGATAAGAAGCATAGTCATATTTCATCAATGGACACGCTAGTTACATAGTTGCTATCCAAAACTCCTACTATTGTCAACATCAATTTAGTCGCTATTGCACCTAACTAGGCCACATGAAATGACTCTCCACATATAGTCACAAGTATAAAATGCTGAAGGATGTCAGCATATCTAGTTCTGGCTAGAGTGGTAAAGGTTCTTAATGAACAATAGTAATTTCTAACACAGAAAAAGTGATTATATGATTCAGATTTGAGAACAAAAAATGTTGAACAAAAACAAGGATCGTGATTAAAAGAACATTGATAAACCAGTGGGGTGGTAGCTTTGCCTGTCTTAACGATTTCTCTGCGGGAAAATAATGATCTTTTTAGTGTTTATCCAACAAAAAATGTATGTTCAGAAAACCGAACATATTAGATGGAAACGCGTACAATTGTACTTATCAGACTGGTTTCCTACGCAATATATAATGAAATTGTTACCTTCCTTCTCATAAAAGAAGACTTTGTTTCGGAACCAGTCTCCTGAATATTTGTCCTCCCCATCTTTCAAATTTTCCATTTTGGCCTTGCTTGCATTCTTTTTTCCCTTTTTTTTTTTTTTGGGCTTATTCCTTGGTACCCATTTCATGTATATAACCGACTTTATGAGTGGAGGACATAAAAATGTGATTTTGGCACAGGTCTCAAGCGGTGGACAGCAGATGGAATTTTCCTATTCAAGCATATGCAAAACTATAGTGTCGAGGTAATGGTAACGACTGTACAGGAAACCAACAATTTGTAGCAGTACCACATTGTTCAGCATTATTTCTTTCGCAGGATTTATTTCTTTCCTTTTCTTTTCTTTGTGCATGTTTTAGTGCGTTCATGAGCATCGTCAGTATATATGTATTAATTCTACAAAGAAGTTTCTCGATCATTTGACTTGAAAAGGTAAACTTTCGTCGCAACATCTGCACTATTATCTCTTTTTGGATAATTTTGCATTTTGAGCATTCACTAACAAGAAGAGGAAAATCAAATGATGATATTGTTGAAATCTTCAACACTTTTTTACTAGTACTAATGAATGATTAACCTTATTTTACTTTTTCTTCTTTTGAGAAGATGAAATTTGGATGACCATCGCAACGTAGTTACATTTGCAACATTATTATTATTTTACCGTACCTACAATTGTCACGAGATCCCCGCATAGAGCTGTATAAATAAAAAATAATGGTTTGAGTCACTTTTCAAGAGGAGCGTCCAAATTAGAGCAGCCAGCTAATGGCATTTCCCTTCCTCTTTTACATTGATCTGTACCCCAAATCATTCACCAATTTTCATGTTCAAATTTAAAGACAAAAATGCGTGGGGATTCAACTTTTCCAAAGAAGCTGTTCGTTTGATTGTCATCATATCATATCATGGTGTTGAGATGCCGCTGAGCTGTTGGGTCTTGGTTTTGGATCTATTTTTGGGTCCAATCGGCCGTTGGTTATTTGAATGTATATATATATATACACCTTATACTCGATCTGTAAATAATCCTGATCCGTTCCAGCCCTAATAAAATCTGATTTTCCCCCAAAATTGTTCTTGTTTTGTTGCGTCTGGTACAACACACGGACAGAAAGAACGGACAGAAACAAATTGAATTTTGGATAGGCATCCGTGAGCCACCATGCACACAGGGTTCTCATGTTTCCAAAGGTCTGGAGGGTTGCCTTCTGGTTTTCGTACAAGTTGAAATCTGGACCCTCATTGGTGGAATGGCACGCCCGGTTCTGGACCTTCTGCTAAGTCTGAACTGAAGAACATATGGACAAATGGCATAGAATGGGACAAATCACATTACGATGTACGACTAAAACTCTAAGCCCCCTTCTCCTCTATTTTCTCTTGCATGCTTTGGAAGGAAAGCAAAAGCACAGTGCAGAGAGAGTAGAGAATTATAGGTGGCGGACAGAATTGCAACATAAGTTGACCCTAGAAATTGACACGTCGGCTATTGGAGGCTGATGTGTCACCACTTCAGTCCTTGGAGTGGGGGTCATGAGAATATTATGATTTTTATGATCTCTCTGTCTCCTGCGTTCAAAAGAGCTGCTGTACCAATGGATCAGTTTTTGTGTTTTGATATGGGATTGAACCCCGAATGAAAGATAAGGAAAGGGGGAGAAAGGGCTGCTAGAGTTAACAAACAAGTGTCGCCAATAGCCAAAAAACCAAACCATGAATACACTACACATTTTTCATTATTCTCAAGTGTTAGCTAGCTTTTGCCCTAAAGTTTAGACAACAAACACACAACATACGTAGGTGGCGCTGTGCAAATATCGATAACATTTCTTATGGAAAGTACGCGAGAAACTCTCAAGTGCAGGTCCAGTTTCGTTTGAGCTGCGCATGCAATTAATCTCTCCGATGCACTTTTTCTTGTTAGACATCCTTTTCTTGTGGTGTACACATTCTGATATTCAGCAATAGAAATGATTTTTTCTATACCAGAAAATTCTTTCCTTTGCATCTTGAGAGTCACCCGTTCTTACCAGCATAAACCAACCAACCACCAAAGCATTAAAACTTGATGGGGGTGGGAGGTCAATGGTTCAAATCTTATCTCCCATCAATTACTAAATTAAGTGATTTTGCTTAAAAAAAATCAAGACGGATGCCAAAAAAAAAAAAATATCAGCACAAACCACGTATCCAAAATTCGGCATATTGGGTCCTTCTACCGCATGCCCTTGTTCCCTTATGAGACTAATGGGCTCGTTAGGGGTTATTATTTTATGAGGCCTCGCTCTGTTTTATTGCATGATTGGCTCACCAAAGTAATTCGCTGTAATGGGCAAGCATTATGGCAGTGTCATAGATGATGGACCACTTGGAAGTTGACTTGAAGCCCAAGCTCTTGGAGATACAACTGCAATCTGGGGAGTTGGTGCTAATATATATATATATAACTGCAATTTGTAATTTGGATCCAGTCTAGTGCACTACAATTGTGAAATACATGTACTATTTAAAAGGGGAAAAAAAAAAAGGCAATAGATATTGAGAAACAGAATAACATATACTCAAAGAAAAAACAAAATGACATCTATCCGATAATCGTCTAGCTCAAACCTTGTCCAATAGTCTTCAGTCATTTGGAAAATAGAAGCATGTTGTATCATCATATACATAACCCAAGAAAGAGAAAAAGAGAAACAGGATCAACTTGAGTTGAGGATGAGAGGAGATCTGACACCAGATCAGAAGAAACATACACTACTTTCTCTCCTTTTCTCCCAAAACGCATACAAAATTAACAGCGTTGTTGTAGAGACTGTTATGTATATAATACAGTACTCTAATTGCAAGCAACTTCAGCTGCAAGCTTAGCTCTTAGGTCCTTTCTCAATATTTTGCCAGATGGAGCTTTAGGAATTTTATCCATGAAAAACACCCGATGGATTCGCTTATAAAAAATCACCTGCACAACATAAATGACAACGAACCCATCACCGCATGGTTAATCCTCAGACGAGCTTATTCTAAATATGTTGTGAAGAGTAGGATTTAAGAAGGGAGATTAGAACTCAAACCTTCTACAATTAAGAGTTTTAATTTTAATCACTAGATCAAGATCTGTTGGACATTGTGAGAATGAACTTACAAGTACGTGTTTGGAAATTGTTTTCCCATTTTATAAATTTAATTGAAATAGCATACAGCATTAAAAATGTGAGCTCATGTTTAAAAAGATAAATCCTTTTTTTTTTTTTTTTTTTTTTGGGTTTACCTGGTTTGAGATAAATTGTTTGATCTCATCCTCGGAAATTTTGGAACCACTTGCTCTCACCACAAAAGCAACAGGAACTTCTCCAGCTGCCTCATCTTTCATGCTGCAGTTACATTAATTAGCCAAAAAAAAAAAAAAACTGTACATACGATTACTGCTAGATGGAGAAGAAGTCCAAGTAACTTACGAGACAACAGCTGCATCAGAAATACCAGGGTGAGAAAGGAGCATGGCTTCCAGCTCTGCAGGTGCCACTTGAAACCCTTTATACTTGATTAATTCCTTCAATCTGTCCACTATGAAAATTTCATCATCATCATCAATGTACCCTATGTCTCCTGTGTGCAACCATCCTTCTTTGTCGATTGTATTCTCAGTTGCCTCCGGATCATTAAGGTAACCTGATTACCAATCAGTGCTCATCAGATATCAGCCAAAAAAACATGTTAATCCTTGCTCTATTGCGCACGAGAAAGCAAAATATATTATTCTGTTTTTTTTTTGGTAAAACTCTACTCGTCATAGTCATTTAGTCAATCAGATATTCTGTGTCTTTGCAGTCTATTCTTTTTGTTTTCCCGGTGGGTTTTGGACTTCTGAATTTAGTATTGGGCATCATCTACCTTTCATGATCTGGTCGCCTCTGATGCAAATTTCTCCAGCTTGATTGCGGGGTAGAGAGAGATTAGTTTCGGGATCTACAATTTTCATTTCAGCATTCCTCACAACTGTCCCGCAAGCACCTGATTTGACATCAAATGGCTCCTTTGCAAACGCTAAGCACATGGACAGCAGAGTCCTGCCTCCGTCATGCCGTATCCCTGACCCAATAATGTACAATCGCCATCACAATTCAAGAACTCAAAAGAGCATGAAGACTTTCTTTCCACTCGAAACAATTAAACACACGTATTACATGTTCAATAATTTTGTTAAACTGAGAGTCATCTTTTGTCACTTTCATTCCTCCTTTACCTGTCATTTCTCGCACACCACAACATTTACTGGGATTGAAAGGACAAGAAAGGGAAAAAAAATCAAACATGGGGGGGGGACAAGCAGAGATAAAAGTCAATATTATGAATTTTCTTCTTGTTCTTGAGAAAAAGACGCGGTAGGTGAAGATTGACAAGGACCATGAAATATAAAGCCGAGAAGTGACTTGCCACCGACCGCACCAAATGGAACAAGGCGACGTTCAGCGAGGATGAAGTTAATGAAGGAACGGGTATACGTACAACCGATTGCCGTGGAATCAAGGAACTGGATATGCTTTTGCTTACATGACAAAAAATACATGGGACCAACAGAAAATAATAGTAATAATTTGAGTAGTGGTAATTTCGGCCAATGAAAGAAGGAAAAAAAAAAAAAAAAGAAGCAAAATCTCCACTAGGCGACGGTGGCAAATCTTTAATGCGATGACGCACTGAAGTAATGGCAATATGCATTTAGTTCATCTCCCCACACGCCAAGAATGGCAGGAAGGGGATGACATCCGCTTGAAATTGGCCCCCCACTAACTATTCAGCCGGACAAGGATTTTCTAGCCTAAGAATCCAAGAGAAGGCTTAGTGGATACAAGTCCTACGCTGAGGCCCCATTTGGAATTGCAATAATTTATAAAGAAGTACTTTTGATACAAATTTCTTTTAAATTATCAAATATTGAATTTCTTAAATTACAAAAAATTAGTTATCAAACATTTAATAGTACTTTTATTGCCTAAAAACACATTCTTTTTTTTTTTTCCGTTTTTCAAATGCATCGCAACTTCCGAAGGACCCTAAATTTACCTTAATACATGGGTACCACTGTAAAGAAAGCCAGGCATGTTCTGTTTTATACGACTAATTGTTTCGTCTTTCCAGGATAATTTTTCTGCCTTCCCATATTCTAATTTACTTAATGTTGCTGCCTCTTCTGCCTTCCCATAATCTATTTTACCCCATGTCTACCAAACTGTCCTTTTCTTGATTGATTGATATGACATATGAGTTCAAGTATTGATGAACTTGCTCCTACACAATTAATTCTTTTTGGCTAGTAGTAGTAAATAAATATGGGACAAAATTGCTCAAGAATATTTTTACCTGTCCGAGCACTGCCTTTGGGAGCTTAGCTCGAACGGTGTCCTCGAGCTCCTTCCCCATGGGTGCCGCGCCGGACATCACCATTCTTATGGATGAAAGATCATACTTGTCCACCACAGGACTTTTGGCAATTTCCAAAACAATTGGTGGCACAAATGGAGCAATTGTCACCTTATATTTTTGCACAAGCTCCATTAGTGCATTAATCTCAAACTTTTGCATGATCAAAATTGCCGCACCAACTCTTAGCCCACAAAGCAACACAGAATTCAGTGAATATATGTGGAACAAAGGCAAAACGCACAATATCACATCTTCCTTGTGAAAATAAAGATTGGGATTTTCTCCATCAACCTGCTGAGCAACACTTGTGACCAACCCTTTGTGCGTCAGCATGACCCCTTTTGGTAGACCAGTGGTGCCTGATGAATAAGGCAGTGCAACGGCATCGTTTGGATTGATTTTCACCGCTGGAATGACTTTTTCGTCAGCCGACGACAGCTCCGAAAAATGCAAACAACCCTCCGGAGGGGCATCAGTGCACATGACTTTGACATTATTTTCCTTAGCAAAGTCCATCACTTTCTCAACATAACAGGATTGTGTGATGATCAGCTTGGCTTTGGATGCTCTTGCTTGCTTTTCGATTTCAGCCGGCTTGTAAAATGGATTGGCAGTTGTACTCATGGCCCCCCGGTAGGATGCTCCGAGAAGTGCAAATGCAAATTCAGGTGAATTTTGGAGCAAGAGCATGATAACTTCACCTTGTTGGATGCCAATTTTGTCGAGGCCGGCAGCAACTTTACGTGCAATGAGTTCAACATCAGCATAGGTGTAGATGTCCCCTGTGGTGCCATTGATCAGGCAAGGACGGTTGCAGAATTCGGGTATGTTTTCAAAGCAATATGAATGCAGTGGGAGGTGATTAGGGATGTATATATCAGGAAGTTTTGATCGGAAAACAAATTCTTGTTGATCTTGTTTAGTCTCCATTTTGATTTTTTGATGGAGCAGGGCAAGAAAAATGACTCGAGGAAAGGTGGCAAGAGGAAATTAATGACCAAGGAAAGGTGAGCTTTTGGTTCTTGGTAGTTGTTTGAGAGCCTTTCCTGGTTGGTTTGGGGGTTGTGGATGGGAATAATATACCCACAAGGTGGAGTAGGTGATGGTAGGGGAAAGCTGCCAAAATTTAATTTGATTTGGATGAAGTTAAAATATGTTTTAAGTTGCACTTGCAGAGTAGGAAACCACAAATTTGAAAAGTATGTCCCTCTAGATGGACTTAATTGTTCAACCTAGAAAAGTTAAAAGAATGCATTCAGGGAAATAAATTCAGTTTGCACCACTTCTGGCAAATTAAATCATCTCACTATGTTAAAATTAGTCTCCTAATAAAGGGATTTGCAGCCTGCGATGTTAGTGAAGTAACATTAAACTAATCTAAGCAAATTTTACTCCCTCATTAGAAGTCATAAATGTTGTGAATCTTGGACTTAATTTCAAAGACTTATAATTTTACCCCACTCAGTTGGTGACCACGCGCTATAGCATTTCGTATGTCATCAGTTTGAATCTTGCTACGCTGAATTGCTGTGCATCCTTGAGCGGGATTCTGTACAGTCTTAGGGATTAGTCCGGCAAAAATGAATACCCCCGTGACACAAAAAAAAAAAAAGTACGAGCCTTAAACATCCACCGCAGGTGTGTACAAAGTACAGAGTCTTACTAATAACTACACTGTATTGACAAAAGCCAGTGGTTGGTGAAACGCGCCTATTATTTGCTTGAGGCCAAAACTTGAAAAGTAAATTGCACCTGTCACGCCTTGAACAGGCTTGATCATTTTTGTTCTTTTCTTCTCATTCCCCCCTCGGGCGCTAAGTGTAGTAGGTGGAGGAACCAAACAAACACACCTCACTTCTTTTTCCTTCCAAGTTCCAAATGCGCTTTAATATATGGGATTTTGTTGTTGTTTGGTGAGTTCTTTCTTCCCCCGATCAATTGGAATATTGCTCAACTTTGAACTTTCACAATCATACCTAAATTTTTAAATATTTTAAAAGGAAATTAATTTCATGCTGTCATATAAGTTTGCTGTATTCAACTTAAAACGCCCAGGTGCACTAAAAACTTGTTTTATTCCCAATATTTAGCAGAAATTGGTTGAATGATGCAATCTAAAAAATCCAAGTGACAAATTGTCTATGCATTAGTCTTTGATTTGGGGAAAAAATTGCCAACTTAGGCAACGGATTTGCCACATTAGAAACTAAAACATGTGTCTTAAATTCTAGTTACGCAACGAAGTAAAACAAAAATAGATTTTAAAAAAAAAAAAAAAAAGAATTGCCTTAGAAAATAATTAATGACTATTATTAGCACTTGCTGAGTCAATGAAAGCTCATTCTTTTCTTTACTAATAATATGAACAATAAGTTGGTGCCCGAAATACCCAAGAAGCCTCGGAGGCTGGAGCCAGGAGTCCGGCCAAAGCGGACGGCGACCTAAAGATTCTAACGGTGAAGTAAAGTAAAGAAGACCCACTCTAATGGCCCACCTTATCATCTTTACCTACTACTGCAATCTCATCCATCCAATTAGGATCCACATTTTTTTTTTTTTTTTTTTGTGTTGTGGAGATTGACGTCTTGTTGACATAAGACATACGTGATCACATCCCAATTCTAATTTCTAAGTGAATTTGACTTGATCATTTCTGATCATTTGGCAATTGGCAAATCGCTTTTCTATATGGAGATTCTTGCTTGAATTAGTGGGCATGCATTACAATTTCAAGGGTATATTTTTTTGGGAAAATACCGGTTTTCATCCTCAAACTTTGGGGTAAGGACACATTTCGTCCCTCAACTTTTGGGCATGATACATTTGATGTCTGAATTAATATTTTTTGACTAATGTCATCCTCAAACGGCAATTTAGCCAATTTTTAACGGAACTAGTCACGTGAAAATCACATGATCGTTAAGTAAATTTAAATCACATTTTTAACAAAACCTGTCAGTTTCCTGCATGCAATCAGTCAATTTTTGACAATTTTGACTAAGCATCCATCAATAAACACTTGCGTCCCGTACGTAAGAGGGGAAAAAAGCTAAAAATAAGGATAAAACGAAAAATAGGCAAGAAAAGAAATAATCAGCATGAAAAATGAAAAGAGATAATTTCACAAACATCCCTTGAGATTTTTAATAGTTACAAAAACTCCCCTCAAAATTTAAAAATTACATATACTTTGCATACTTTTACTATTTATATAAGAGCAAATTATTTGAGCAGGCATTGAACTATTTGAATAGTAAAAATTTGGCCCTTCAATTATTCATAATATATTTTTATCCATTGAACTATTAAAAGTATAAACTTTGAATTATCCATAACATATTTTTACCCATTGAACTAGTATGTTTTGTATTTAACATAAATTAAATATGTGAAAGTTAAAAAAAATAATAAATTACCCATAACATACCAACTCTTTATGAGAAACTGGCAGGTTTTGTAGTATGTTTTGTACCAGCTCTTTATGGGAAATATACCAGTTCTTTATAGGAAAAATTGGTTAAATAGCGCCCAAAGGAAAACTAGTATGTTTTGTATTTAACATAAATTAAATATGTGAAAGTTAAAAAAAATAATAAATTGCCCATAACATACCAGTTCTTTATGGGAAATTGTAGTATGTTTTGTATCAGCTCTTTATGGGAAATATACCAGCTCTTTATAGGAAAAATTGATTAAATAGCGCCCAAAGGAAAATTAGTATGTTTTGTATGTAACATAAATTAAATATGTGAAAGTTAAAAAAAAAAAATTTGCCCATAACATACCAGCTCTTTATGGGAAACTGGCAGGTTTTGTAGTATGTTTTGTACCAGCTCTTTATGGGAAACATACCAGCTCTTTATAGAAAAAATAGGTTAAATAGCGTCCAAAGGAATACTAGTTCGTTTTGTATTTAACATAAATTAAATATGTGAAAGTTAAAAAAAATAATAAATTGCCCATAACATACCAGTTCTTTATGGGAAACTGACAGGTTTTGTAGTATGTTTTGTACCAGTTCTTTATGGGAAACATACCAACTCTTTCTAGAAAAAATATGTTAAATAGCGTCCAAAGGAAAACTAGTTTGTTTTGTATTTAACATAAATTAAATATGTGAAAGTTAAAAAAATAATAAATTGCCCATAACATACCAGTTCTTTATGGAAAACTGGCAGATTTTGTAGTATGTTTTGTACTAGCTCTTTATGGGAAACATACTAGCTCTTTATAGGAAAAATTGGTTAAATAGCATCCAAACGAAAACTAGTATGTTTTGTATTTAACATAAATTAAATATGTGAAAGTTAAAAAAAAATAATAAATTGCCCATAATATACCAACTCTTTATGGAAAACTTGTAGGTTTTGTTAAAAATGTGATTTAAGTTTATTTAACGGTCATGTGATTTTCACGTGACCAGTTTTATTAAAAATTGGCTAAATTGCCGTTTGAGGATGACATTGGTAAAAAATTATTAATTTAGACATCAAATGTGTCGTGCTCAAAAGTTGAGGGACGAAATGTGTCATTACCCCAAAGTTTGGGGATGAAAACCGGTATTTTCCCTATTTTTTTTGCATACGGGGGAGAGGCTGAGCCACTTAAACAGCTGCCAGACGTGTGGTCGCAGCCCCAATAATATCCATTTCTAGCAACATCCTAAGCTCTGCAGGTGGGTCTACGATGAGCAGCAATCCTGACACCTGATTAATGCTCCATTTTGGAAGCCAATCTGCACATCTATCTTCTCTATTGGCCCCTCTCCATGCATGCTGAAGATGACACTTCCAAGGACCCTGTTGCCATAATTTCCGATCTGCCAAACCATGTTGTCATAAGGGGACTCCCTTCCTGCTGTTCTAATAAGCTCAAGGAACGGGTATATGCCATGCGTTTTGATGTACGTGTAATGTGTACCAAATCATGAGTAGGTAGTAGGTAGTACTTCTCTCTCTCTCTCTCTTTTTTCTTTTTTTTTTTTTTTGTGTCAAAGGTCAACTTCTATATATTATATATAAGGTAGTACTTCTCTTTCGGGATCCAAAATTTTATGATAGTAAGTTTCCATCTCTTATTTATAAATTAAATATTATTTTTTTTCCCAAATAAGTGAGGACATATGTCTGGTACTTGTGAACTTAACACCTCAGTTGGCTTTGTTTCGATTGTGATTTTTTACAAAAAAAAAATTTACGTTTTTTATGAACACATTTCTCAATCACGTTTTTACTTCACATGCATCAAATCCGCAACGGATCTTTTGTCTCATTTCCTATGCCACTTTTTGTTATATTGCCATTGCTTCTTCATAAACACCATATTTTAGTTCTTTTTTATTTTGTTAAGATTCAATAACTATTAATTGAGTAAAGCATAAATACAATAGTCTCAAAAAAAATAATATATAATAGAAAATTAAAAAAAATACAACAGAAAATTCATGAAAAATCTCTTATGCATTTTGATTTTTTGAGTTTGTTAAATTTTGTGTATTACTCAGTTACTAATAGTTATTAGATTTTAAGGAAACAAAAAAAAACTAAAATATACTAATATTTATGAAAAAGAAATAACAATATAATAAAAAGTGGGACAAAAAACTAACATATGGAGTGGGACAGAAGATCCGTCACACATCAAATTACTACAGTACATTTTTTTTATATAAAAATTCTTAAAAATAGCAATCCAAAGAGTTCTAACATTGTACGTTCCTCTCATGGAAGGGACGAGGGAGGGTTGAATGTGCACTCCCCATGTAACAGGCAACAAAAAGGACCACAAATGCTAAAATTTGTTGCCTTACACCCAATCAGTGACCAATCACAACTTAAAAAGGTGAATAGTAATCATTCATCAGAATCATATGTAATTGGAATGACTCATTGTTTAGTATGGCTAGTGCACAAGAGCGGCATCGCGCGCTGTCCTCCCTTCTTGCTTATATGTAAATAAATAAATAAATAAATAAATGTTTGATTCCGCTTAATTTCTGACCGTCCTATTCAATCTGGATTTCATTTGTTGATATTATTTTTCAAAAAGTATTGCTGTGGTATTTTCTTTGAAATGAGTATACGGTGAT